CCAGGTTCAATCCCTGGCAACTCCAGTTGAAAGGACCAGTGACAGTAGGTGATGTGAAAGATCTCCACCTGAGACCCTGGAGAGCTGCTGCCAGTCTGAGTAGACAAGGCTGACTTTGATGGACTGACGGTCTGATTCAGTATAAGGCAGCTTCACGTTTTCATGCGATCTGCTGTAATTCCAGGAGAACACCAGGTTTTGCCTGGAGGATGGCAACCCACAGCTGCAGCATGGGAATCGCCAGAGAGGAGCCAAGGTGCACAGCTGTGCATCATAAAACCGTGCAATCCATAGAACTTGAAGATAACCCAGATTTTATCCAAGTATTTTAAATGTGTCCTTGGGTGCCTGGCGTTCCTACAGAGCATAGTTCTCCTAATTATCCGAGTGTTTTTTAAAAAAACATAGTCTCGAAGCAAAGTGGTCTGAAGTCTGCTGCTGAAAACCCTTGGCTTCGCAACCTTTTTGCTAAGTGCTAAATCTGCGGAGGAATCTTACAGAGCAGGGTGGAGCAGGCATCCCATGTCTTCGTATCTGGCTTTTGTTTTGACATCGGACACGCCAGTCCCACTCATGGTGTAGCCATGTCAAACATCTCACAGAGGAAGTGCGAAAAAAGCAAATTGACTCTTCAAGCGGCGATGACTCGGAAACCGGAAAATTATTTGCAAGATAAAAACCCTCCGATGATGCCTTCCCGTTGCTCAGTCTTTCTTTTCCCTGGCTTGTTCTGTAGTTGTAATAAGTGTGTTTTCTTTGTAAGCGTAATTATTCAGGGAGTTCGGTTAAGCAGTTAACGTTTTGAGGATTCGGCAGATAACAACAGTTGGGGGGGGAACGGGTGCTGTAAAGCAGAAAGTGATAATTAAATCAAATCAGGAAGTGCGTTGGGGGAGGCACTGCTCGCAAGGAGCCATTGAATTACGAGTCGAATCAAGGTGTTATGGAGGTGCAGAGATGCAGACAAACAGAAACATTCAATGGTGGAACTCCCGCATTGTGGGTCAAAGCAACCAAGTTGCCCATGGAGAGAACGATCATTTTACACCAATGCTCTGCAAACCTAAATACTGTGGGAACAGGGCTATTTTTGGGCAGAAATGCACAGGAACGGAGTTCCGGCTGGCTCCCAAGTTGGCCACGCCCAGAAGGAACTCATTAGCATAATAGGCCACACCCAACAGCAGGAACTCATTAGGATTGGCTACATTAGGGGTGTGTGGCCTAACATGCAAAGGAATTCCTGCTACAAAAAAAGCCCTGGCTTTGGACAACAAACGAGGTAAACAGAATAAGAAGGGAAAGGTGGGTGTGGCTGGATGACCACACTTCTGGTAACATGGGGGTGGGGCCTAATGTGCTAATGAGCTGTGCTATCAGGGGTGTGGCCCAATATGCTAATGAGTTCCTGCTGTTGGGTGCGGCCAATTATGCTAATGAGTTCCTGCTGGGCTTTTTCTACAACAAGAGCCCTGTGTGGGAACAATGTTTGTTCCACACGGCGGCTTTGGGGTACAGTGTGATTTGATGCAGCCGGTGCCGAGCAGCGGGCAGAGTGTCAGACCAGGATCTTGGAGATCGAGGTTCGAATCCCTCATCTGCTGTGGAAGCTTGCTGGGTGACCACTCATGTGCTCTCAGTTTAACCTAACTCACAGAGTTGCTGTGACGATAAAACAGAGGAGAGGGGACTGACATAAGCCAAGTTGGGGAGAAAGGTGGTGTGCCAATGAAGTAATAATAATCACTGTAAGGCGGTGTGTGTAGTATAGCCAGGAGATCCTAAGATTGTCTGGCAGCCAGAAGTGCTAGCTCTTTTGGCGTTATGCACCACTAGGTGGCGAGCTAGACTTGTTTTTTTGAGGCAAGAGACATTTCAGATGGGGTTTGCCACTCCCTGCCTCTGCGTCACGACCCTGGTAGTCCTTGGAGGTCGCCCTTCCAAGTCCTAGCCAGGGCTGACCCTGCGTAGTTCCCAAGATCTGATGCGATTGGGCTAGCCTGGGCGATCCAGGTCAGGGCTGCCAATGAAGTTAATAAAATAAAAGACCTCCGCCTGAGACCCTGGAGAGCCACTGCCAGACTAAGCAGACAATACCGATCTTGATGGACCAAGGGTCTGATTCAGTATAAGCAGGGCTATTTCTGGGCAGGAACACACAGGAACGGAGTTCCGGCTGGCTTCAGAGTTGGCCACGCCTGCTACGGCCAAAACCTCTGCGCGCGTGGCTACAGAGGGAAGGCCTGGAGAGCGACACCCCTCTCCAGCGACTCTGAGGCCGGCGGGCCAGGGGGGGCCCTGGAAGGATCGGGGAGGCATTTAAATGCCTCCCCGTGCCTCCCCGTGCCTACCCCGGCCTTCCCTTCCCTTCAAGGGGGGGCTTGCCCGGGCAAGCCAAGGGAAGGCATGGGGGTGTGGCCTAATATACAAAAGAGCTGTGCTGTCAGGAGTGTGGCCTAATAGGCTAATGAGTTTCTGCTGTTGGGTGTGGCCTAATATACTAATGAGTTTCTGCTGTTGGGTGTGGTCTGTTATGCTAATGAGTCTCTGTTGTTGGGTGTGGCCTATTATGCTAATGAGTCTCTGCTGTTGGGTGTGGCCTATTATGCTAATGAGTCTCTGCTGTTGGGTGTGTCCTATTATGCTAATGAGTTTCTGCTGTTGGGTGTGGCCTATTATGCTAATGAGCTCCTGCTGGGCTTTTTCTACAAAAAAAGCCCTGAGTATAAGACAGCTTCATGTGTTGGGGAGGGACTCTGGCTCGGTGGCAGAGCCTCTGCTTGGCATTTATTTATTTATTTATATTTTCGGTTGATATTCCACCCTCCCCGCATGGGCGGGCTCAGGGCGGCTTATCAGAAGTTAAAATATAACAGAATCAATACAATGAAACATAGATGCCTCGTCAGAGCGATAATCTAAAATTCAGACAAGCCATCAAATGTGTAAATAAAGTGCTGCTGCGTATAGATGGCGGTAGCCTCTCTAAGGCTTATGTTAGATGGTAGAGAGCAGGGGGTCATTTCCTGCAGGAGCGCACGGGAGCGGAGCTCCGGCAGTAAAGAGCCCAGGGGGCGGGCACATGCAACAAGCCCCACCCCCTGCTCCCAGAAGCCCTCAGTCAGAGCAAGAAGTAGCCAGATAAGCTGCAGAGCTCCCCCCCGGCCCCCTGGTCCAAAACAGTCCAGTGGCACCTTTAAGACCAAGTTTTATTCAGGTACAAGCTCTCCCTCCCCTGTGAGGACAGATCTGCACGTTCCCCCCCCCCCAATAGCTAGCAATCCAAAAGAGTCCAGTGGAGCCTGAGCGGTGGGTGTTGCCTTCTGATACACTTCCGGTGATGTCAGGGTGTGTGGCATATGCAAATAAGTTATGCTAATGAGTTATGCTAATGAGCTCTTGCACCTCTTTTTCTACGAAATGACCACTGGTAGAGAGTACACTGGGGCCATACCCGTGTCATTAGCTGTTCTTGTGGCTCTCAACAGGAGGGCCTTAACTGTTCAGTTGTTAGCAGTTCAGTTGTCATCCATGTGTTGGTGGCCAGTGGCAGTTCCTAACCGAAGGCCTGGTGGAAGAGCTCCGTTTCACAGGCCCTGCAGAAGGTCCCAGGTTCGAACTTTGGCATCTCCAGTTCAAAAGGACCAGGCGGTGGGTGATGGGAAAGACCTCTGCCTGAGACCCTGGGGAGCGGCTGCCAGCCTGGGTAGACAAAACTGATCTTGATGGACCCAGGGTCTGATGTAGTTTAAGGCGGCTCCATGTGGTCCCATGTGACTGGGAGGGTTTGTATGGCAGAGGGACTCAGGGATGTCTTGAACACAAATATTGCCATTTTCTGTGTGCCCCTTTGGACCTTCCTGACCTTAAGCAAGATTCGAACCCGGGCCTGGTTCCAGACTTTATCGCTTCTCTGGATCACTGCTAACTCTCCCCCCCCACATGCTTAATGAAAAAGTACTTCTCACAGAGCCAGCTATTCATCTCAGAAGAATGTTCCACAAGACTGTTCTGTAGTGTTACGCAGCTACTAATGAAATTACATCTATATATATAAAAATTGCAAAATGCCAAGTTGGCACATCAGCCGGCCCGTGTAACAAATGCTTATTTGTGGTTCTCTTTTCCAGGTGAAATAGAATACGACGGCTTGTAACTGTTTAAATTCAATTATGCGCACGTCTTTCAGCAGTCGGCACATGGTTTCCCTTTATTTTTAATAGCCGGCCCACCAAATTAAATTCAGCTCTTTTAATTTTTTTGCCCACTCCCCTTACGGGAGGGGAAGGGGGGGGAAGAGCGAGAGAGGGAAGAGAAAAGAAGGGAAGAAATGCATAGAAACAAGCATCTGGGAAACGCTAAATCAAACAATTTGGGGTGTGTGCGCACGTTTCCGAAGGAACTGGCAGCAGATAGAAACACTCACTGTCCTGGAATGTGTGGGAGTGTAAGGAGAAAGTGTCTTTTCAGCAAACCAGATAAGCTTTGAGACCACTTTCTCCTACTTTGTGTGGTGTGGTCCGTGTAGAAATGGGCCCAACTCTTCCACATTCCACCATGTCTTTTCATCATCAGACATTTCGAGCAGCATCCAACCCGTGGGTTCCCTGGGGGCAGACTCTAGAATTCCGTACCCCGAGCTTCTCTCGCCCCGTTTGAGAGCCAGTTTGGTGTAGTGGTTAAGTGAGTGGACTCTAATCTGGGAGATCCGGGTTCGATTCCCCACTCCTCCACTTGCACCTGCTGATGTGACCTTGGGTTAGTCACAAGCTCTGGCACAGCTGTCCTTGAAAAAGAGCAGTTTGTGTCAGAGTTCTCTCAGCCCCACCCACCTCCCAGGGTGTCTGTTGTGGGGAGGGGAAGGGAAAGGAGTTTGTAAGCCGCTCTGAGACTCCGAGTGAAGGGCGGGGTATAAATCCAATCTCTTCTTCTTCTTCTTCTTCTGCACTGGTCAGCCGTTGGACTAATGGAAATACTTTCTGTCTCTTTTTCGACAACAGTGTTCTGCCGAATGCGGCGCGGGGGTCCGGACGCGCTCTGTGGTCTGCATGACCAACCACATCAGCAGCTTGCCTCTGGAGGGCTGCGGGCACAACCGGCCGCCGGACACGACTCCCTGCGACAACGGGCCATGTTTGGGGAAGGTGGAGTGGTTCGCCGGGAGCTGGAGCCAGGTAGGTTTAATCCAGAGAGTGTTTCGGGCATGATCCGGCTGAGGAAGAGCATGCGGAAAGGCCTCGTGGCTTTGAGCAGGAGTGTTAAGCGTGAATCTAACGGTGCTATCCTGTGCGGAGTTAGGCCAGTCGAAGCCCACTGAGACCCCTGGTTGATACTCCCTGCTCTGCATCCTCTTCATTGTAGAACTCTTCCAGTGGAACTGATGGTGGTAGAAAGTATCAAGTCACAACTGACTTATGGGTTAATCCCAAAGGGTTTCCAAGGCAAGGGAGGAAGCAGAGATGGCTTGCCCACTCTCTCCACCCCATCCATCTCTCCTTATATATAATTGAGTAGTGGGTGCCAAAGTTCTAAAATGCACTCCTTTAGTGTATGGACGCTTGAACTGTCAGTCTGAAGACGCTGGCTGGGTTGACTGGCTGCTTTGTGCAGTCCCGCCCAGTGTTTCAAGGTCTTTTGCATATGGAAGCTGATTGGACTTCACTGCATTCCACACCTCAAACTCACCCCCCTCCCCGCAAGGCAGTTGGAATGTCAGTTGCATATGGAACCTTCAAGGTCTTTTGCATATGGAAGCTGATTGGACTTCACTGCATTCCACACCTCAAACTCACCCCCCTCCCCGCAAGGCAGTTGGAATGTCAGTTGCATATGGAACCTTCAAGGTCTTTTGCATATGGAAGCTGATTGGACTTCACTGCATTCCACACCTCAAACTCACCCCCCTCCCCGCAAGGCAGTTGGAATGTCAGTTGCATATGGAACCTTCAAGGTCTTTTGCATATGGAAGCTGATTGGACTTCACTGCATTCCACACCTCAAACTCACCCCCCTCCCCGCAAGGCAGTTGGAATGTCAGTTGCATATGGAACCTTCAAGGTCTTTTGCATATGGAAGCTGATTGGACTTCACTGCATTCCACACCTCAAACTCACCCCCCTCCCCGCAAGGCAGTTGGAATGTCAGGTTGTGGGGAGGGGAAGGGAAAGGAGTTTGTAAGCCGCTCTGAGACTCCCTTGGGTAGTGAAGGGCGGGGTATAAATCCAATCTCCTCTCCTCCTCCTCCTCCTCCTCCTCCTCTTTTCTAAATGGAAAAGTCCCAGAAGCTTTTTCTCTCTCTCCCAAAAGACTAGAACTTGAGGGCATCCAATGAAGCTGATGGGCAGTAGGTTCAAGACAGACGTAAGGAAATACTACTTTACACAGAGAGTGATTAAAATGTGGATATTTGCTGCCAGGGGTCATTTTGTAGAAAAAGAGGTGCAGGAGCTCATTAGCATAACTCATTAGCGTAACGTATTTGCATACGCCACACACACACCCCTGACATCACCGGAATCCAGTCTCTCACCGGAATCCAATCTCCAATCTCTTCTCTTCTCTTCTAACTTATCTTCAGGTATGTTGTAGGGCTATCTTTCGGCTATGCTCCTGCAGAGTGCAGGGGGTTGGACTAGATGACCTGTAAGGTCCCTTCCAACTCTAACATTCTATGATTCTATGATTAACTGTCAGTTACACAAACCGAAACAGCTCAAGACAGTCAAAAGGGCCTGGTGGTCGAAATCCAGACTGTGGAATCAGAATGAAATGAAGCCCTTTCCCCTCCCCGCTTCTCCCAGACCCAGAAGTCGGAAGAAAAACAGCTTCAATCTTTATCCCTCAACCCAGTTATTTTTTTAAATAAAACCTGACGGCTTTGCTTTCTGTTGAAAACTTGTATGGCTTAAGCCGTCTTGAAATGAATACTTCCAAAGGATATTGGAGAAGAATTTGCAATTCACTCCTGTTGTCATTTCCCAGCCGCCCCATTGACAAACTCGGATATATATATATATATATATATATTTTGCTTTCTGTGAATAAAAAGAGGGTGCCAAAAGTGTATAACGGCCTGGTTTGGTATGCAAATTCATTTCCCATTTCCCTGAGACGTTTTTCTTCGCCGCCGGATATTAAATGAGGTTCTCTGCAGGCACGGTCAACGTTCTGTAGAACTACTTTAGTATTGTCACCAATGTTCCCTCTAAGCTGTGGAGAGTTGTGTGAGCAAATTCTGCTTTGTGAGCTACTGGCGTTAAAGTTGTGAGCGAGCGATTTGGCTGCTGCCTAAACTAGTTTGCACTGGAGCCATCCTAAATTAGTTTGCACTGGAGCCATCCCTTCCTGAGCTGACAAAAACGTGTGAGCCGGAGGCTAAAGAACTGTGAGCTAGGTCACACTAACTCAGCTTAGAGGGAACCCTGCTCTGGAGCCATCCTTCCTGAGCTAAGACAAAAATCAGCGAGCTGGAGGCTAAAAAACTGTGAGCCAGCTCATATTAACTCAGCTTAGAGGGAACATTGAGTCACTCTCCAAGTGAACATTCCGTCAGCCTCTCCTACTTTGCAAGGCACCGACGGCATCCTGAACTTCTCAGAAGAGAGGTGAGATAAAAACAGTGGCGGAAAGTACTGTCATGTCCCAGCTGACTTAAGGCGACGCCTGAGGATTTTCAAGGGGTAGAGACGAGCAGAGGTGGGTTGCTGTTGCATGCCTCTGTGTAACAACCCTGGGCTTCCTTGGTACTCTCCCATCCAAGTACTCACCAGAGCTGACCCTACTAAGCTTCCAAGATCTGAAAACTTATGGTGACCCTGTAGGGTTTCCAAGGCAAGAGACATACAGAGGTAGTTTGCCATTGCCTGCCTCTGCATAGCAACCCTGGGCTTCCTTGGTGGTCTGACGACTTATGGTGACCAGTGTTCCCTCTAAGCTGAGTTAGTGTGAGCTAGCTCACAGTTTTTTAGCCTCCAGCTCACACATTTTTGTCTTAGCTCAGGAAGGACGGCTCCAGAGCAAACGAATTTTATGCAGCAGCCAAACTACCTGCTCACAACTTTAATGCCAGTAGCTCACAAAGTAGAATTTCCGCTCACAGGACTCCACAGCTTAGAGGGAACATTGATGGTGACCCTGTAGGGTCTCCAAGGCAAGAGATGTACAGAGGTAGTTTACCATTGCCTGCCTCTGCTTAGCAACCCTGGACTTCCCTGGAGGTCTCCCATCCAAACACTAACCAGGGCTGACCTTGCTTAGCCTCTATGATGTGACAATATCAGGGTATCCCGGAGCATCCCGCTCAGGGCAAAAATGGACTAGGTAGACCCAGTTTCCATTGATTCTGTGGCCAGTGTTCCCTCTAAGTTGAGTTAGCGTGAGCTAGCTGACAGTTTTTTAGCCTCCGGCTCACACATTTTTGTCTCAGCTCAGGAAGGAGGGCTCCAGAGCAAACTAACTGATGCAGGAGCCAAATCGCTCGCTCACAACTTTAATGCCGGTCGCTCACAAAGTAGAATTCTTGTTCACAAGAATCCCTAGCTTAGAGAGAGCATCGTCTGTGGCCCTCATGTTTCCTTGGATAATAGTTTCCATTTCTTCTTTTCGTGGGGACGAGTTTAGCAAAGCTGCAGCGCTGACTTTAAGAGTTCCCTAATCTCAACCAAGCACCCTGATCTGTTTTTCCTTACGCAAATATCCTTTTCCAGGAGGATGCCTTCGAAGAGCAGTGGCGGGTTGTAAAACGGCGGAGCCGCTCTAGAGGGGAGGGGTGTTTTGTTAACTGGCGCCCGAAGAGTTAATCTCCTGGCGGACTCTGCAATTTACCGTGCTGTTAACAGGAATTATGATTTGAACTTGGGGGCACCCGAACCTGAGTCGACCCATAAATCTACCACATTGCTTCAGAGTTCTAATTTATTTCTCCCGAGTCATAAATTCTTCAGGAATATGTACCTCTGGGCGTTTTAAAGCCCCATAATACTTTCGGTCTCCCCCAATCAACTACAATCCATACGGTTACATTATCTAAAGAACAAATATGTATATAAGATGGATTTGTTCTGAGAGAGGCAGGAGCAAGGTTCGGGCTGATTTGTAGGCGCATTTAGAGCAGATTTTCTGCTTCCTTCTCGGGTTGGTTTCATTGTGGCTTCTGCTTTATGAAATTATTTCTCCATTTCCCGGTGATGAATCCAGCCTGGAAACCCCTGTTCCAGCACTGTGTCTCCCTTGTGCAAATCAAACCCACGATTCTGTTTTCTCGCCCTTTTCGATTCATCACGCCACTTTTTCTTCTCTTGCATGCATTTCTCAGTGCCGTTTGGCATCAAGAAATCAGCATTACATATGTATTATATTCAATATAAATGACCCATCCATTTTATGTATAAACTGAATATTAGAGACCAGAGAATGGGTGCATACGAGGGAGAAAGAGTAATTAAGATGTGGGATTCATTGATGCAGGAAGTGGTGGCAGCTACAAGCATAGACAGTTTCAAGAGGGGATTGGAGAAACATACAAAGCAGAGGTCCATCAGTGGTTCTTAGCCACAAGGGATAGATGGAATACTCTGTCTGGGGCAGTGATGCTCTGTATTCTTGGTGCTGGGGGGGCGCAGTGGGAGGGCTTCTGAGGTTCTGGCCTTGCTGGTGGATCTCCTGATGGCACCTGGGTTTTGGCCACTGTGTGACACAGAGTGTTGGACTGGATTGGCCATTGGCCTGATCCAACATGGCTTTTCTTGCGTCTGGGGCATTGATGCTCTGTATTCTTGGTGCTTGGAGGGCAACAGGGGGAGGTCTTCTGGAGTTCTGGCCCCACTGGTGGACCTCCTGATGGCACCTGGGTTTTGGCCACTGTGTGACACAGGGTGTTGGACTGGATGGACCACTGGCCTGATCCAGCATGCTGTCTCTTATGTTCTTATGTCTAGGGCAGTGATGCTCTGTATTCTTGGTGCTTGGGGGGCCACACTGGGAGGGCTTCTGGAGTTCTAGCCTTGTTGGTGGACCTCCTGATGGCACCTGGGTTTTGGCCACTGTTTGACACAGAGTGTTGGATTAGATGGGCCACTGGCCCGATCCAACGTGGCTTCTCTTGTGTTCTTATGACATGGATGTACAAAAAAGGAGTGCGGAAGGAAATGGAAAGTTTCATTGCTTCTTCAGGGTG